CCAGAAAGGTTGGTGTGTCCAGGCAGGCCAGCGCGTCCCCACCTGGTCCCTTTCAATGGCGACCTCCTCCATCTGCCGCAGGATGGCCTCGATGCGGTCCTTGTACATCTTGGAGTCCCTCCGCAGGGCCAGGCACTGCAGCTCGAACGTCTCCTTCTCCTCTGCGCTCTGCAGAAGACGCCAGCTAGCCCCACCACCCGCGGCCCGGCCGGGCGGGCTGGAAGTCAGCTCCAGGCCACGGCTAGCCGCCCCTCACCAACAGTGCCCCGGGGGGGCGGCAGGCCCAGGGCTGGGCCCCCCGCCGCCTACCCGGGTGCGCAGGGCCTCGGCCTGGCGCAGGTCCTTGCGCAGGGAGAAGATGGTGGCGGCCTGTTGTTGGAGGTCCCGCTGCGCCTTCTGCCAGTCCTCCTCTGGCACCTGGATGTAGGGGCGGCCCTGGTCCGGCTTCCCCTCCTGCAGGCGCCAAGGGAGAGGGTTGGGGGGGGACGGGCCCGGCTCCCCCGAGCCCGCCCACCGCCGCCAGCCCTGGGGCCCCACCTGCACTGAGGCCTCCAGGCCCTGCACGCGCGCCTGCAGCAGCGCCTTCTCCTGCTGCAGCTCCCAGAGCAGCTCCTGGCTGGGCCGCAGCTCCATGGCGTGCCTGAGCTTCAGCGTGTGCTTGCGCTCCACCCTGCAGTCGTCCTCCGCCTTCATGAGGCTGTGCTTCAGTTGGTCGATCTGGGGGGAGTTGGGGGGGGGTGCCTGTCAGTGTCAGCTGGGGGGCCCTGCCCCCTACTGCGCCCACCCCCCACTGTCCCCCACCCTACCGGGCCCCTGCCCCCGCCCTGGGCACCTCCAGCAGCAGCCCACGGTGCCCCGTGAGGGCCGCGTCGCGCTCCTCGCTCTGGCGGGCCAGGCGCAGGGCCAGGTCGTAGTTCTCGTCCTTGCAGCGCTGGAGCTCACGGCTGCCCGCCTCGCAGGCCTCCTTGAGCCGCTGCACGCGTTCCTGGAGCTTGCGCAGCAGGCTGTCCTTCACATGCAGCTCCTCGGCGAGGTTGTCTCTGGAGCCCAGCAGTGCCGTCAGCTCCTGCACCTTCTTCTGCAGCTTCATCACCTCACTCATCAGCAGCTGCGTCAGGCCCGATTCTCCAGAAGCGTCTGTAGAGTGGGCGGGGGTCGGACAGCGCACCCCTCCCGGGGCCCCCACTCCAGGACCGCGAGGCTCTGGGGCGGCGCGGCTGAGGGGTCAGCTCCCTGCCTCGGGGATGAACTGAGGCGGACTCGCCTCTGGGCCCTGACCCCACCGGGGCAGGACGGCCTGGGGTCCAGGCGTCCATCCCTCTCTGTCTAATTCTGTCGTCTTGGTTGAGAGGTGGGGGGACGTCACCGCACTGGCTTCTTGGGCAGGGCTTCAGCAAGGCCGGGGGCCTTCTGGGCCACGCTTCAGCCTGCGCCCCGCCCCCACAGGCCCCACCCTGGGCTTGGGCTCCCTCTCCTGCAGCCTTTGCACCACCATGCGCTCAGGATGGCGGCACGGGAGGGACGCCCACACAGGGCTGGAGGCTGGCAGCTTCCCACACGCGGCTCACTCCTTTCCTTTCACCCGAGCTTTACCCATCAGGGGGCCGGGCTCCCCTGCCCCTCTTGCCCCCAGGCCTGCGCCCTGCGCTCACCGATGATCGTGGAGAAGACACGGGTGGGCTCCTTGCCCGTGACCTTCCTGTAGAGTTGTGGGTAGTAGAGCTCCAGGCTCTCGAGGAAGGCCACGTAGCCCTTGTGGCCCGTCCGCTGCAGGATGTCCAGGAGCACTCCTGTGACCCAGAGAGGATGCACGTGGGCGCAGAAGGCGCGGAGTCCGCGAGGCTGCAGTGGGGGCCAGCGTGGCCCCACCTCGGGGCGCTCCCGGGGCATCCGCCACGCGGGGAGTGGGAGTAGCCGCAGGCAGAGGTGGGACGGGGGTGGGGGTGCCTGCTAGACCTCCGGGGGGCCAGGGTGGGGGGCCAAGTGCAGCCGCCCGCAGCACTCACCCACTTTCCGCTTGCGGGTGACCAGGTTGGGGTCGCTGAGCACCTGCTCCTCGTCATCAGGGTTCAGCACCTTGCACTGGCGCAGGTAGGGCGTGATGCGGGCGGGGTCGATGATGGAGATAAGCTTCACCCGGAAGCCCTCCAGGGCGCTCCAGCACGCATCCTCGTTCTCGTAGTCGGACATGGCTGGGAGGAGGTGGCCTCTGCTGAGCTGCGGGTCCCGTTGGGGCCCAGGCTGGCCATCTTGGCCACGAGAGCCCAGCCCAGGAGTGCGAGGAAGGAAGCTAGCCTGCTGCCATCAACTCACCCAGCGTCTCCCTCCGCCCCCCTCGGGGCCTGCTCCTGACCCTCCAGGCGCCCTGGGCTTTCTCTCCCAAGGGACCCTGATAAGCGTTGGGGACAGTGTGGGGATGCTCCAGGGTCGGGGGGCATCTAGGAGGACACAGTCTGCAGCCCCATGGCCCTCCTCTGGCCCTGCCTGATCCCCACCCCCCCAACACTGCAAGTGCTGTGGGGGCTGGCAGGAGGCTGCCTCCCACTCACACGACCTCCCTGGCACGTGAGGGATGGGGCCAGTGCCGGGGCACCCGGGCGCCAGGCTGCGCTGCAGGACTTCCTCCTTCCCCGTGGGACAGCGGCCCTCACATCTAGTCCTCCCGGCCTCCCTTCTTCCGGACGCCACTGATGCAACAGTCGCCCAGCAGCTGCTGGGCCGTTCCCGCCCCGGATCAGGCTCGGCAACGCAGTGCCCTCCGGGAAGGGTGACTGTGGACGGCCCGCTGGAGGGCGCAGGCCCCGGCGTCCTGGGAGGGACGGGCTCCTGGTCCCCAGGCACCAGCCATCTGGGCCCCTCTCTGCCTCCCGGGCGAGGCTTTGTTCTTGGGGACTGCCAGGCCAGCTATCCAACAGGAGATTCCCCTCTGCCGGAACGGCCCACCGCTGCTCCCTCCTGCTCCGCGTCCAGGAGCCCCTCTCTCCAGGGCCAGGCTGAGCCGGGGGCTGCCGCGGGTTGCCTCCTCCCAGAGGTGGGGATGGAGACCCTGACCCCTCCACCTCCCGCTGAGCCTCCAATCCATGGCAGTGAGGGAAGGACGAGCCTCTAGCTCGCAGGGGCTGGGCCATGCTCCTAGGGACGTGGGTGGCAGCAGGTTCAGGCTGCGCCGCCTGCCCAACGGCAGACGAGGCGCTGAATGAAAGCATCCACAGGTTGGGGTCTCCGGAGCACCGGGGCCTGGCCCCTGCCTGCCCACCCTGAAGTCTGCACACCCCGCGCCTGCCGACGCCCTGCGGCTCCCTCTGTTGAAGCGACAGGTGGGCACAGGGTGGCCGTGGAGGGGGGACAGGCCAGAGCCAAGACCCCCTGGTGCCCTGCTGGGTATCTGCCCCACACCCTGTTCCCTGCCCCAGGCCCGAGCTGGGGTGCCACCTGAACAAAGGGCATCGGGTCAGCCTACCTTGGGTCCTCCTGGGGGGCACCTGCACACCCGTCCGCCCGATTCAGTGCCGGGTAGGAGGTGCCAGCTGCCAGGACGGAGGCGGGTGGAGCTGGGGGGAGAGCCCAGGGTGCACTTCCTGATGAGCCTGGCTCACCCCAGAGGCAGGAGGGACCGTTCCCCCCCCCCGCCCCCCGCGGCCTCCTGATTCGCCCAAGCAGGGTGGCCCTGGGAGGCGGAGACAGGGAAGTGGAAGCTGCTGGGAGCCCCGGGCGGGAGGGTGAGCCAAGGTTCTTCCCCGGGGCTGGATGAGGCCAAGCCACCATCGGGTCCACTGTGTTCCCGTGAGGACTGCAGCCTGGCGTCTGTGGAGGGCACGGGGCTGGGGCCACCCCACTCGCCCCGCATCACCACCGGCCCACGGGCAGCCTTGTCCACTCCCGGGAGCAGCCCTTCACCACAAGGTGGGGGGGCAGTGACAGCCAGGCCCTGGGACGCGGAGCCAGCCCTACTGGTTGAACCGAGAACTGCCTGCTACCGGGCTGAGCGGCAGCTCTGGGAAGGGGCTGCAGCCGGTGGGCAGCAGTCTGACCGCGGCTGCTGGCTTCCTGTGCTCCCTTCCTGGGGGTCCTGAGCCTCGGCCCCCGGTTTTCCTCTGCCCGCTGGCCCAGCAGTCTAATCCTGGGAAGTCCTGGTGGTTCCCCTTGGGGGAGGGGTCCTCCTGCTGTGGGAGAGGTGTGAGCTACGGCCCCAGCCCTCTGCACCCGGTGGGCAGGCAGAGCGCCGGGCCTGGGCCCTCCGTGAGCTAGTGCTCCCGCTTTGTGCAATGAGGAGGGGTCTTCCTCCCGGTGTGCTTGAAAATTAATCTGGGAATCAAATAACAAACGTCCTAACCCCCAAAGTCAGAGAAGGTCACAAGTTAAAGTGGAATTGGTGAACTGTGGACTGGGCGCCAGCACGCACACCTGGGCGGGCAAATCAACCTGTGGCCGTTCAACCCGCGAGGTCTGAGCGTGGAGGAAGGGGAGACAAGCGACCCCGGGGACTGCTGTCTGGGGAGCGCGTGCCCCGTTTCTCTGCGTGGGAACCTCCCGTGATAAGTGAATGCAAAAGGAAATGGTGTGTGAGAACAGAGCCCCCAGGAAAACCCGGAGCCTCAGAGAGTGTAACCAGACCCCCAAACCTGAGCTCCTTCAGACGGAGGGCCAGAGAGGGCACGAGGCTCCTGCCAAAGAAACGCCTGCACAAAATCACAGGAGCGCTGGCCCGTGGCTGCCGTGCAGGCTGCTGAGGGCCTGTGGGCAGCAGGCAGCCACAGGTTCTGGGACCTGCCTGTGCGGTCTGGACGGCGGAGGAAGTGGGCTCGCCCCACCCGCAGCAGCACCAGGAGAACCCTGAGCCCCTGGGTGGGTGTGGGCTGCCCTCTGCCTGGAGCCAGGCCCCAGGCTTTCTGCCCAACGGGCAGACCTATTCCTCCCCCATCCCAGGCCCTAGAGGCCCTCTGGACCCCAGGGCCAAGCTGGCCAACTGCCAGCATGTGCAGAACTTGCTGAGACCAGAGTCCATGGCTTGCTTTTAATCACAAACAGGACATTTCTTTATTCCTTCCAGCATTCTGGGTGCCCTAGGGGCTCAGCTGAGCCGGGACGATGCAGTCACTGCTGGCGGAGCGTTCCTCCCGGGTAGGCTTGCCTGGGTCCAGCACAGGCCCCCCTGCCTGTCAACCGCACTGGCTGGCTGGCCCTGGGCAGTCCTAGAACATTAAAACCACCATCGTGACAGGATGCTCCAGTCCCAGCTGGACCCCATGGATGGCAAGGCAAAGGTGCAGCGCTGCCTCGGGGGGCCAGGCAGGGAGGAGCAAGGCGTACTGCCCACCTGCGGTCCGCGGAGGGGCCACGTGGAGGACAGGCCCTGGAGCCTGAGCGGGCCCAGTGCAGGCGGCCCCTCTGTGGTCCCCACCCACCCAGGGCCCCGTGTGCCGCCCTCATCCGTCCACTCCAGGACCAAGGACCTCCCGCAGCACGTCCACGGAGCTCAGAGACTGCAGTTCCTGCTTCTGCAACATCCTCCTGGGCCCAAGTCTCTGTTCATGAAGACCCACCAGGCTGCGCCTACTTGGTGCTGGCAACCTAGTCACACGGGACCCTACACCTGCCCAAAGGCTCACATTCTGGGTGAGATGCTGGACCCACACAGGTGAACTTCAGGTGTCACAGGGGGGTAGACACCATGAGGACGGCCGGGCACCGGGAAGGGGACGCTGTCTTGTAAGAGCAGGAGAGGGCATCTGAGCAGCGCACTGCCAAGCAGAGAGGCGAATGGAGGAAGGGACAGGCCTTGCAGATGGGAAGAGGACAGGGCCAGGCAGAGGGCCGGTGGCCCCGGGGCACAGGGGGGCCAGCCGCAAGGCAGCAGCGAGGGTGGGGATGTGGAGCCTGGGAGGGGAGAGTAGGGGAGGGGAGGCCCATGTGCCACGCCCAACACCTCACGACAGCACCGCAGCCAGGGTGGGCTGGGGACCCTGGGCACTCACCTGCGGCTCACTGCAGCCGCCGCCGCTTGCGGACGGGCCTCAAGCGCCGTGTCTGCAGCACGTCTGGGTTGTCGGGGCTGTCCGGGCAGGAAGGGGCAGAGCCCTGGCCGGGGTCCGGGGCTCCCTAAAGTCCAGGCAGAGGACAAGAGTGACCCTCCAGCTCGAACGGATGGGCAGCGGGGCAGGGAGGAGCGGGTAGCTCCTCAGGCGTGTCCCCACTGGAGCTGGACGGGAGGTGCTATCTTCCTGGGGCCACACGGGGCTCTGACTTCCTGCTGACCCCTCCTTCACTCGGGGACTCCGATCCCCGCTGAGCAGCCCCCCAAGAGCCAGCCTCCTATACCACGGTCTCCCCAGCTGGGCCAGGGGGCAGGGCCCGAGGGAAGCTGCCCATGCTGCCGGGGACAGCAGGTCTCCTCCCCTCAGTATCCAAGGGCCAGCAGAGCTTGCCCTTTGCTTCAGCCTGGAAGACCCTCTCAACTCCTAAGGCTGTGCCCCTGGGAAGGGAAGTGGGCTAGGCCGAGCTGTGGGGAGTGTGGGGGGCCACAGATCCAGCAGCAAGCCTCGCTGCTGTGGTCACTCCCATGTGGTGGGGATGGGCTGTTCCTGGGGGTTCTCTGGAAGGGTCAACGCACTCAAGGGACCCGAGGGCCCTCTGTGTTCTGAGGGAACCAGGGACTCCTTCCCGTGTCTGTATCCGGGTTCTTGTCTAGAAACAAAAGCGGCACGGCTTCCGCAGCTGGACACCTGGACAGAGCTCCCCAGGGCGCAGGCGGGGCGTGCGTGTGCAGCAGGGGCTGGGACACTGAGGCGGCTACCCGCTGGGGCAGGCCCTCCCCGCCCCCCCATGCTGGCTGTGAGGTTCCCGCTGCCGAGTCTGCAAGCGAAGGGCGGCGTGGCGTGGTCTCTTCCCCCCACCTCCACCCCACTCCGGGCGGGCAAGACACCCGCCAGTGAGGGCCCCGTGGGAAAGGGGCTGAGGGCCCACGACAGCCTACCTGGGTGGGGTCCCCGTCACTGTCGGTGAGCTCTGGCTCCTCCGGGTCAAGTTGGTCACTGTCTGTCTCGGGGTCAGGCCCGGTGCTCACCGACAGGGTGGTGGGGACGCCGCGGGGGGACAGGGTGGCCAGGAGCGCTGGCAGGGTGAAGGCGGCCAGGAAGCGCGCCCGCAGCAGCAGGTAGGCCGGGCTGTCGCAGAGCCGCTCGCGCACCCGCCCCAGCGAGGCCTGCAGGGCGCCGGCCGGCCCGCCGGGCGCCAGGACCGCGGCCCCGTGCTCCAAGTCCTTCTTGCGCAGCAGGAGGCTGGACAGCGCCCGCAGGCTGCACAGCATGGGTGGCTGGTAGGCCAGCCGGCTCCCCGGGGTGGGTGCGGTCACCCCTCGCTGCCCCCATAGCCACTCCCGCGCAGCGGCCTCGCTCTCCTGGGAAAGGAGGCTCAAGTCCAGGGCTTCATTCTCCAGCCCCAGCCAGGAGAGCGGGGGCTCCTCCGGGTCCAGAGGCCGGGGCTCCCCAGGCCCTGAGGCAGCCCCTGGGGCCCCGTGCAGAGGCGGTGGGCTGGAGCTAGGGGGCCTGGTCACCGGGTGGTGGGCCAGGGGTGTTTCCTGGGAGGGGGTCGTGGGTGCAGACGTCTCCCCAGCCGCCAGGACCTCCCCAGGGGAGGCGAGTCCCGCAAGGCCACCGGCCTCGGCCACCTCTGTGGGGCTCTTGCTCAAGGACGCCGTCCTGCAGGGAGGCTCTGGCTCCGAGTCTATGCTGGCTGCTGGCGGCCCAGGACGGCTCTGCTCTGGGAACCTGGGGCCCCGGCTGGCTGGGGTCTCAGTGGGCGAGGGCGGCAGGGTCACCGACAGCCGTGTGGGGTCAGGAGCCCCCGTCGGCGTTGGCAGGCTCACCACGGCCTGCAGGGGTACGGGGAGCAGCCCCTGTGCTGTGAGAACCCAGGTGACAGGCAGAGAGCTGCCGGCTGCCGTGGGCGTGCCCAGCGCTGGCATCAGGCTGAGGGACTGGATGGGCAGCTGGACAGGGCTGGGGGCTGCGGGCAGAAAGGGGGGCACTTCGGGCAGGCCCTGCTTCCGGGACGTGGCAGGGGTCTGAGACTGTCCAAGAGCACTCAGCGGGCAGCTCGCAGGAACCAGACCGGGGGCCCTGGAGGTGGCCGGGCCGAGGGCAAAGGCGTGCAGAGTCGGGGCTTGCTCATCCTTGGCTGGCACCCAGGAGCCTGAAGCAGTGGAACTGGTCACCGGAGGGCCTCCAGGCCTGGATAGCATGACGCTGGGGACTGGGGCAGCTGGGGGGGCCAGCGGCTGGAGGACCATGGGCGAGGAGACAAGCACGCGGGCCGGGACGATGGCGGGGCCCTGCGCGGCCCTCCTGGCTCGGGCCTCCCGCAGACGCTTCTCCCGAAGCAGCTCAGACACCGTCTTGGGCTTGGGCCGGGGTCTGCACGGGGCCGGGGCGGGTGCTGGGGGCATGGATGCTGTGCGGCAGGCCTGCGTCCCTCTGCCCACCTCAGGGTAGGTGCCCTGCTTTGCGGCCCCTTGGGCCGGCACGCTCTGGGTGAGGCAGCCTGCAGGGAGGATAGAACGCACGCTGAGGTGCGTCCAGCAACGGGCCCTGCGTCCCAGAGAAGGGCCCAAGGGGCAAGGGCGGCTGCTAGGGCTGCGTCTGTGCTGAGGGCTGTTGGTCTGCCTGCACATCCCCAGACCCCACCTCGAGGGTGCCCCAAGTCCCCACACTCTGCCCCGTCCAGGGCGGGCCCGGGGGAAGGCCAGCCCCCAATGGCCCTGCGCCTCCAACACCCTCACAGAGACTGCCGGCACTATCACCCTGCCCTTCGCAGTCACCTCCTAGGACCCGGGACCGCTGCCCAATTCTGCTGGTGTGGGGACAGGCGGCTGCCGGCGGGAGAGGCTGTGCCCAATGCCTGGGCCCAGAGGGAGACCCTGCTCCTGGCTGGCTGGTGAAGGCTGACCACTCACACCAGCCAGGCGCCCAAGGTGGGCTTCAGAGACCCCCGCAAGGGGCTGCAACTTAAGAGCCTGGGACAGGCCTAAACACAAACCACCCAGACAAAGGGTGGGGCAGGTGGGCGGTACCTGGGTCGCTGTGGGCACTCGAGGGTTCCTGGAAGAGAAGGCAGAACGGCGTCAGCGCCTCAGGGCAACCCCCACGCCTCCCCACGCCGCCACACACAGGGCTGCCCAGCCCCTTGTCCTGCGACACCATGCCAAGGCATCCTTGGGAGAGCGAGTCGGTGGGGTCAGGGAGAGGCAGGAGGTCCAGTTGCTTAGGAGGGAGGGCATGGGGCTCCAGGCCTGAATGGGGCACCACAGCGCCATGTTTGGTCCTCCGACCAGCATCACTCTTCTGTCATTTCCTCCGGCAGTGACCAGGCTCAGGGACGTGGTCCAAGGACCTGGCCACAGGCACCCGGCTGCCACCCCAGGGGCCAGTGCCCAGGGCAGCAGGCGCCCAACGGCTCCCCACCACACCCCCTGGGGGAGGCAGGGCACCAGGGACAGCCAGGGGGCCAGGCAAGCCTAGGTGCCCGCGGAGCTCTCCACCCCCTGGACTTGCCTCAGGGGCCCTCAGGGTCCCAGGCCTACCCTGGAGACCCCCAGACTCTCCCGGCAATGGGCACAGGCTGCTCTCGGGGCTGGCCCAGCCTCCAGGAACCCGGGAATGCCTCACTGCCCCGCTGGCCGGGAGGGAAGGGTGGCAAGCGCCTGGGGAGCCAGGCACTCACCCTCAGTCCTCACCTGCGGGGGCGGCGGGTCCCAGGCCCCAGCCTGGAGCAGGGCAGGCGGCCAGGCCTTCCTCTCTCGAACCACCTCCACACAGCCAGGCGTGTCAATCTGGAACAGCTGAGGGGTGCAGGGTGCATGGCTGGCACTGCGTGACGGGAGGCTCCCCCGCCCCAAGGCTGTCCGCGGAGGGACTCAGGCCCGCGCTGAGTACAGCGGCTCTCGCAGAGCTGCCCGACACCTGGGGGCCTGGAGACCGTGGCCATGTGGCTCCCGCCCCAGCCTGGACTCGGGTCCTCCAGGCTGCCTGCTGCCCACCTCCCCTGCCCCGGCCCAGCCCCACGGGATGTCCAGGCCCTCCCACATGGGGACAGTGGCAGGGACACGCCGAGGCTGCCCCTCCCTCGTTGTCTCCGCTGCCGAGAGTCACAGGCCTGGGAAGGCCCTCTTTCAAGGATCTACAGCCTTAGAAAGCCTGGACTTGGAGACATGAATCCACCGCAGACTTCAAAACTCCACCAAAAAGTAAAGGACAAGAGAAGGAAGTTGTGCTCAGAGGCTTCTCACCTGAATGAAGAGGGCGAACACTGGGGTGCTGGCCAAGTGGGCGCCCTGCAGCTGTCTCCTGATGCCATCAGCTGAGGGGACACGGGCACATGAACAGGGCCACCCAGACACCACGGCAGTGGCCACGGCACTCGACCACAAAGGGGGTGAGGGCCCCAAGAGCAGGCTGGCAGGCGGTCAGGGATGGACGCTCCTGAGCCCCGAGACTCCCGCCCCCCGGAGCGTACGCCCCCTATGTGGGCGCCTGCGCACTGGGAATGCCAGGGTGAGCCTTGGCCACCACACACTGAGCAGGACGGGGCAGGGGGAGGAGGCAGAACCAAACCCCTGCAGGTCAACACCGAGTGCGCGGGCCCCTGTCCCTCCACCCTCCCAGGCAGGGCAGGTCCCCGGCCCCTGCCTCTCCTCCTCCCAGGACACCGGGCAGTACCTCGACGCGGCCGCACGGCGGGCCTTGGGCGCACGCACAGCAGGTCGACCTCTCCCACCCACGGACTCACGGCCGTCAGCAGCTTGTGCTCCAGGAGCCTCCACTGCAGAGCGTGCCCCTGGCGCTGCTGCATGGTCCTGGCCCATGGTGGCCGCACGCGGGGCCTGGCCTCGTCCCTGCTGCTGCTGCCAGGGCTGGGTCCCGGGGCTGAGCCAGGCCTCTCCTGCTGTGGGAGGAAAAGGCCTCTGGGATGCAGGCTGGGCCCCGCTCTGGGGCTGCCACGTGCCCACCCGTGCTGTCCTCTACTCCCACCGGGTGCCAGAGGGCGGGGGGACGCCCAGGCCGGAAGGGGCAGGGTGAGGAGACAGGCGGGTGGCGGGGGTGGGGTGATCCTGGCAGCCTAGGGCACTGCGGCTGGCACCAGCGGCTGGGCCTGTCCTCAGCATGCGCGGCCCTAGCCCCAGGGGTGCCCTGAACAGCCACCCTGCGAGGCTGGCCACCGTTGGGCGCACATACAGCTCCCTGCCCGGACCCGGCAGTGCCCTGCACAAGGGCTGTGGGGAAAACACCCTCTGCAGTGAGGTGGCCTCAGAGGAGGGTGGTGGGTCCCTAAGGCCATCCAACAGGTCTGCCCTGGGGCGCTGAGGGCCAATAAGGGGGAGGATGCCCTGGCAGGGTCCGGGGTGAGGACTCTACGCTCTCACAGCTCAAGCCTGGACTCAACTCCTGGCCAGGGAACCAGGATCCCACAGGCTGTGGGAGGGAAAAGAAAAAGAAAAAGCAAGCAAGCTGGGGTGACGGAGGGGGCTGGCCTCCAGGGAGTCAGCCGCTGTCCAGGGCAGCTCTTGCAGAAGCGGCCAGGAGTGGGTGCTGTGACATGCAATGGGGAGGCCTCTGCCACCACTGGGTGCAGCCCCGGCAACCACCAGGCAGGGGCATGCCGCCCCCTGCACCCACCTTGCCCAGCGGCCCCTCGGAGCTCCAGCGCTGAGCGATGGCTGGGCAGAGGCACCTGATGCTCCTTGGGTTGGTGCTCCGCCTCCTGGAGGCCAGCTGCCCTGCGGGGGCCGGGGCCATGGCCGGGGCCATGTCGGGGCCCTCAGGAGGGCGTGGGCAGCCCCCAGGGCCTGCTCCCCACAGCTCCTCGGGGTTCTGCCGGGCGGGCACCCACAGGTCCATGTCCGGCACAGTGTACGGAGCTGGCGGTGGCTCCGGGCTGCCCGCCGGGGCCTCCTCCGGGGCGTCCTTCGGGGCCGCCTCGGGCTCTGAGTCCTCCCAGCTGCTGTCACTGCTGCTCCCGCTGCTGGGGCTCCAGTGCGCCCTGCGAGGGGCCCGCCGCTGGGCCTGCCGCTGCCGCTGCTGTGGAGGGAGGGCTCCAGTGAGGGAGAACCAGGCCCAGGCTTGGAGCAGGGGCGCCCACAGGGAGCCAGGGGCAGGGGCTGGACGTGCTGGGCTGGACCCTCCCCCGCCTCATGAAGAGGCCAGGTCTCTCTCAGTGCTCGGGCACCTGGAAGCAGAGACACGGAGGCCGGACCAGATGTTGCTCCTTCCTGCCCCCCCCAGCTGCTGTCCCCTCATCCTGCCCGGGGCGGGGACCCCTTCTGGCCGACTTTCAGTAAAGCCTCACCCTGACCATGATCTTCCATTTGCTCAGGCACTGGGAGCCTGACCGATGGGGTAGCTCAGAGGCTATTTTTGCCCAGCGACCTACAAGAGCGAAACAACACGGACGTTACTTCCTGCAGACGGGCTCTGACAACACAGGTTCGAAGCCTCCGCTGCGCAGCGTGCTGGCCGCTCCTCCACAGGCTGCACTGGGTTCCGTCAAAACCCTGACGCTGCTCCCCAGCCCGAGCAGGTGATGACAGGCTGGCATCCGACTCACAGATGACCAACCCCGTGGGGAGGTTCTAGCAAACATACAACTGTGACTAAAGAGCTATCCCTGTTTCTGTAAAATGGCCCTGGAATAGCTGTATGCCCAGGCTTCTAAGGCAGACGTTTCAGATTATCTGGACTTTTCTTCCACACCGTGAGGGTGGGACGACAAGTCGGGCACTGCTTCTACGGGGCGGTCGGCCCACGTGTGACAGGCCCCTCAAACCTGGCCGTGCGACATCTCAGGGTCTACTCTAAGAAGATGTTATAAACATACCAAGGACAGAGCTACTGAACGCTTAGCCCGTTCCACCTGTGACAGAAAACGAGAAGCAGACGTCCGTCGTCAGAGACCGGGTGAGTAACCCGTGTGCTCCTGCTCAAGAAAGTATGCGTGATTATGGAGGGAAGTCGAGGACACAGGATGCGTACAGACGAAGAGAAATACTGGTGACAGACAAGGTAGCGACACATCGCGAAGTGGAACACAGCTGCTCAATGAAGCAGAAAGACTCGGCTTAAACAAGCCGGCTTCCAGGCGAGCCCCCCGCACAAGGAAGGCCCGGACAGCCGCAGCCCAGCGGCCGCCTCTGGTGATGGGAGATGAGCTATGCTCCTTTCCTTCCTTCCATGCATCTTCACCCTAAATTCCCTGTAATAAACGTGAGTTAGTTTGTAAGACAAACAACTTCCACCACCTGCTGAGCTGATGGACAGAAAATGACGAGGCGGAATGGGGATCCCCTGGTGGTGCGGCGGTCAGGACTCCGCTCGGTGCCAGGGCTCAGTTCCTGGTGGGGGAGCAAAGATTCCACAAGCCACGTGGCAGAGCCAAAACAGACACAGACAAACACGGAGCAGAAGGGCCCATGACTGGGGGGGCAGCCTGGGATGAGAGCAAACCACAGCCTCCAGCTGCAAGCCAGGACCTCAGAGCTGTGAGAAACCCGGACAGCAAGGTGTCCGGAGCTCACTTGAGGGTGCCAAGCGCCCAGAGTGGGAAGACCGCGAGCTCACCTCCGCCCGCTGCCACTCCACAGTTACCACCACGCAGAGAAGACCGGCAGGGCGGGCGTTCGCGGGAGCAGAGGGCTGTGGGAGACAGAGGCTCCACTCTGCACACAGTCTGACGTGAGATCTGAGATGGCGGTTTGGAAGGTGCCTGGGGCAGACACGCAGCTGGCCGTGGCCAGCCTCTCGGAGGCGGGAGGCAGCAGGACGCCCCTGGCGTGGAGACACGGGCAGCAGCCACTGCCGGGGGCCGAGCCCACCATGGCGCCACCAGGGCAGGCGGGTGCCCTTCTGGAGCTCTCCCTCTAGCCTCCCAGCCCCAGAGGCACGGCCCTGCCCTCCAGCGGCTGGCAGGAGCCCCGCACCAACCCACCCGCACCCCAGGCGTGCCGGCAACCCCGTGGGAAGTCCGCCCTGCCCTCCAGGAGGCCCAGAGCCACTGCGCCAGGTGCAGCCTCGCAGCCCAGCGAACTGGGACCCAGCCCCGCCCACCAGCACCACCTCAGCAGTCAATCCTGCCAGACACCCCACACGGGGGCACCCCCAGAGCACAGCACTCTGCTGACCAGAGGAGGCTGCTGCTGGGCCCAGAGGATGGCTCCTACACAAGGTCACTTCGCCAAGATTGGAAGACCTAACTGACCTAATGCTGAGAAATAAACGTAGAGAGGATTAGGCAAGATGAAGTTGATGGTAACATGATATATTACGGAATATTACCACCCTGCTTACAATGATGGACAGATCACCTGGACAAAAAAATCAATAAGGAAACACTGCCTTAAATAACACATTAGACCATGTGTTAGATGGAATTAGTAGATATATATAAGCACTTCCCAAGTGCTCCAGAGGTTAAGAGTCCACCTTCCAATGCAGGGAATACGGATTCAATCTTTGGCCTGGGAAGATCCCACATGCTGTGGAGCCACTGAACCTGTGTGCCACAGCTACTGAGCCTGTGCTCTAGAGCCTGGGAGCCGTAACTTCTGAGGTCACGCGCTGCAACTGCCGAGGCCCGAGCCCCACAGCAAGAGAAGCCACCTCAGCGAGGAGCCTGCACGCCGCAACCAGAGAGAAGCCCATGCGGCAACGAAGACCCAGCAAGGCCAAAATAAACACATAGAATGAGTTTAAAAATTAAAAAAAAATCAATGAAACTAAGTTCTGGTTCTTTGAAAAGATAAACAAAATTGACAAATCTTTAGCCAGACTCATCAAAGAAAATGAAAAGGCCCAAATCAACAAAGTCAGAAATGGAAAGAAGTTACAACCTACGCCACAGAAATGTGAAGGCTCGTACAAGACCATCATGGGCTTCCTGGGTGGCTCAGTGGTAAAGAACCCAACTAAAACACGAGAGGCGGGTTTGACCCCTGGGTCAAGAAGATCCCTTGAAGGTAACGGCAACCCACTCCAGTATTCCTGCCTGGAGAATCCCATGGACAGAGGAGTCTGGTGGGCTACAGTCCATGGGGTGGCAAAGAGCTGAATATGACAGCAACTAAACAATGTAAGATCATTACAAAGCATTGTACTCAAAAAAAAAAAAAAAAAAACTAGACAATCCAGATGAAGTGGATAAATGCCTAGAAAAGTACACTCATCTAAGACTGAGTCAGGAAGAAATAAAATCTATGAACAGACTGATTACCAGGAATAAAACTGAATCAGTAATAATAATAAAACTCTATAAACAAACAAAAGTCCAGGACCAGATGGCTGCACAAGTGACTTTTCCAAAACATTTGAAGAGGAGTTAATACACCAGTGTCCATAGCAGTATTATTTACAACAATACGCGGAAGCAACGTAAGTGACCACTGATAGATGAATGAACAAAGAAAAACAAGTAAGATATATTCCACATATACACGATGGAATATTCCTCAGCCATGAAAGAAAAAAAACCTTCCCGTTTGCAACAAGGATGGCCCTAGGTGACGCCAAGTGAAGTCAGTCAGAGAAAGTGTGACCTCACTTATGCATGGAATCTAAAAAACAAAGCACACAGAGCAGACAGAGCGCAGACTCAGATACAGAGCGGACGTGGGTGGTTGCCACGGGGCGGGGCTGGCGTGGGACTGCACAGAGGCAGGGATGAGAGGCACAGACCTCCAGCTACAGAACTGGATCAGCCACGGCATGTGGTACTCAAGGCAAGGAATACGGGCAATAACCTTATGCTAACTCTGTATGGGACTGCTGCTGCTGCTAAGTCGCTTCAGTCGTGTCTGACTCTCAGCGACCCCACGGATTGCAGGCCACCAGGCTCCTCCGTCCATGGGATTTTCCAGGCAAGAGTACCGGAGTGGGGTGCCATTGCCTTCTCCATTGTACGGGACAGGCGGTTACTAGACTTATGATCACTTCATGACAATGCAAATGTTAAAGCCACTATGTGAGAAACTAAAAAATACAAGAACAGAGAAATAAGAACTTACCGACACCGTATTTTTCTATCAATTCAATTAACTTCTCCACCTCTTTAGGATTCCATCGTCCCTTTTTCAAGCTGAAATGTAACCTTCTGATATATCTGAAGGCGACATAAAAACAAAGGGACGTTTTAGAAGCTGAGACGCCCTCCTGCTGTGCTCCTGGCATCTGAGCGGTTTCTAAGCTGACACCCAGAGCACAGGCACCAGAAGAAAAACACAGGCACACTGGACTTGTGCAAAACTAGAAACCTTTGTGCATCAAAGGTCTTTTCAAGGTGAAAAGACAACACACAGATTAGAAGAGGGGGTCCGCAGATCATGTATCTACTGAGACTTGTACCTGGAATATGCCAAGTACCCTAACTCAAGTTTAAAAATGGGTAGAGGAAAGAAATAGCTATTTCTTCAGAGAAGACACACAAATGGCCAAATAACACATGAGAAAGGCGCTCCACACCCTTCAGGAAATGCAAGCCAGAATAGCAGTGAGATTCCACTTCACACCACTAGGGTGGCTTGAATCAAAAAGGAAGTGCGTGCAGGCGAAGACTTGGAAGACAGAGACCCTCCTACTCTGCTGAGGGGGATGTATTTAAGACAGTGAAGCCACTTTGGAAAATGGTCATTCCTCGGAAGGTTAAACAGAATCCCCACACGACCTAATGATTTCACTTGCAGGCAGAGCTGAGAAGAATGAGTATGCACATGCACACAAATGTGTGCTTTCGAGGTTCGGTCACGGTGTGACGCGTGTGAGAACTTCACTCAGTGTTCACATGTCAGAGCCGCACCTTGCTGACCCGCTCATCTGCCGACACTGGGTTCATGCCCTCCTTCCGCTATGCCCAGTGCTGCTGTGAACAGGGGCGGACAAACGTCTGAGTCCCTGATTTCCACTGTTTTGGGTACAGGGTGGAATTGCTAGACAACATGGTGTGCTAAGTCGCTTCAGTCGTGCCTGACTCTGCAACCCCGTGGACTGTAGCCCATCAGGCTCCTCTGTCCGTGGGATTCTCCAGGCAAGAACACTGGAGTGGGTTGCCAGTTCCTTCTCCAGGATAATATAGCAATTCTCTGTTCACCTTTTTAGGAATCCCTGAACTCTTTTCCACAGTGGCTGCCCCGTTTCAACCCCACCAAGAGCGTACAAGGGTTCTGATTTCTCCGCATCCCCTCCAACACTTGTTATTTCCTTTTCACAAAACATGAACCATTCAAAGTGTGTGAAGCGGCATCCTGCTGTGGCTCTGACTTGTGTTTCTATAGTGACTGCGTCACAGTTCTTCACATACTCAACGGCCGTTTACACATCCGTGTTGGAGAAGCATGCCTTCAGGTCCACCATGCGTTCTCTGTTTTCCCCTAAATACTTGTTCATTTCTTTGGCTGAGAAGGGTCTTAGTTGTGGCCTGTAGAATCAAGTTCCCTGACCAGGGAAGGAACCCAGGCCTTCTGCATTGGGAGCATAGACTCTTAGCCATTGGACACCAGGGATGTCCCTCTGGTCCATTCCTGAATTTTTCTTTTTTGGTAGGAAGTAGTGTTTTCTTTGTGGGGTGATCAAAATGCTCTGGAATTATGATGATGGTTACACAGCTCAAGAAATACACCAAACCTGCAGAACTATCTACTTTAAATGAATGGTTTATATGTGAATTATAAAATAAAGCTGTTTAAAACAAGCCCAGGGAAACTGCCACCAGCGGATCCTGAGGGACGTCCAGTGGAGCCCATGCACACGTCTGGCTTCCAAAGAAGCGGCCCTGCTTCCCGAGCGGGTCCATCCGCGTCCTCCACGCCCCAAGGCCACACCCTCGTCCCACGCCAGCAGGCCACCCTGAGGAAGTCTCCCTGCCTGTCTGGTGGCCCACCCGGAAGCAGCCCCAGCAAGCCTTCCTTTGCCCAGAGCTGCCCCACTCACCGATCTCGGCACTGGGCATCGCTCCTACCTGGCACCTCTTCCCGGATTTTAAACCAATCTTGCTCCCCATACTTGGCAACTGCTTGCAGCAACTTCTGCAGGAAGACAGAAGCGGAGCCGGTCACAACCTGCCTATCCCAGGCCAGCCCAAACTCCAGGCCCCAGTCCTCAGTCCCACAGAAGTACCGCGTCCTCCTCTGGGGCCCAGAGCCCCTTCTTCAGGCCGGGGTCCAGGCTCTTGGTCCAGCGGTAGATGAGCTGCATGGAGTCCCGCCCCTCCATGTAGTAGACAACTGTAGACAGAGGGGGCTGGTTGGTGCTGAGCTTCCTGGGTCACCCAGAGAGGAGCCACGCTGACCACAGAGAACTGACCGCAGGCGGCCTGGACGACACAGCACCTCCCCCCGCCCCGCCAACTGGGACCAGGGCCTCGCTGGGCGGGCGCGGGACTCACTCCTCCGGTAGGGGATGTGGCTGCCAACGCGCATGGCCTGCACGAGCCGCGTGAGTACGCGGTCCTCCTCCTCCGTCCACTCCTTGCGCTTCAGGGCTGGGTTGTGCTGCTGGTACTGCTGCAGGCACTGGAAGGCGCTGCGGCGTGTCTGTGGGGCCAGAGCAGGGCAGGGGTTAAGGGGCCGCCCCAGGGGATGGTGGAAGGCGCTGTGGTGCGTCTGTAGGCCGAAAGCAGGGCAGGGGGTTACCAGGCCGCTCCGGGGGACGGTGGAGAGCACCCTGACAGCAGGCCCAGGGCCACTAAAGAGGGTCCCCGACATCAGCTCATCAAAGCGTGTCCACAAACATCACAGCACCTCCCTGACATGACAGCACAATCACCGCAAGTGCAGATTCCCAGGGGAGGCCCCCCGCTCGGCCAGGTCTGCGGCAAAGGCGCCCTGCGCTACAGGCTGGGCCGCGGCCCTGACCGCGGCCAGAGGCAGTCTCTGAAGGCCCCATCAGGGGCGGCTGAGAGGTGCAGGTGTTGGGACGGGGTGCTGGAGAGCCCTGGGGTGGCGCCTATGTCCAGGGACGCCCTCTCAAGGAGAGCTCTGAGGTGAAGGCCCCCAGCTTCCGGCTGCACTGCAGCCCAGCACGGAGCCCCCGGGGCCCGCTGTAAACGTTTGTGGGCCAATCCGCCCCTCGCTCATCTGTGGAAAAGGGGTTTTCCATGAGCCCCCTGTGGTGACATGAAGTGTCTTCTCTCCCAGAGCAAGCTCTCTGGTTACAAAGCACAAGGGTTGGTGATGTCTTTTGAGACATCAAAAGTACGATCTGTAAAGAATTCCTAAGCTGGACTTCACTGAAGTTACAAAGACAATGGCAAAAGAATTAGAAGACAATTCACAGACTGGGAGAAGATACCTGCAAAAGACACACCCAATATGGACGGTTACTTGAATCACGTGAAGAACACTTACAACTCCACGTCACAGTGCGAACAACTCGACCACAAACTGGGCCGAGACCTTAACAGACACCTCACCAAAGGCGACATATGGAAGGCAAATAGGCGCGTGGGGGAAGTGCCCTCTCACAAGTCGTCCAGGAAAACGCAGATTAACCCGAGATCCTACAAGAGCCGCAAGATACAGAACCCTAACGCAGCAGCCAGGGGTGGGAGCGCAGAACGGCGCAGCCATTTCAGAGACAGCCTGCTGGCTTCTCACAAAGCTAAACACGTCTGTACCGTGTGATCCAGCAGTTGTGCTCCTAGGTATTTATCCAAAGGGATGAAAACATCCCTCCACCCAAAAACCTGCACGTGGATGTTAACGGCAGTTTTACCCATAATTGACAAGCCCTGTAAGCGCATCCAGGATGCCCTTTGGTAGGTGAATGGAAAACTCTCCTCCATCTAGGCAATGGAATATCAATTGGTGTGAACGAGAAGACAACCATCAAACCATGAAAAGACATGGAGGAACCTTAAATGCATATTGATGAGAACCATGACAAAGTGTAGATCTATCCCTAGTAAAAAAGAAAAAAAAAAGCTACATCTGGTGAGTGATGCTTGTAACAGGCAAGGCTGTGCATGTGTGGAGGCAGAGGGTGTGTGAGAAAGCCCTGTGCCTTCCTCTCAGGCTTTGTTGTGAACCTAAAACATCTTTAAAAAAAACAAAACAGCCTTGGGAATTCCTCGGCTGTCCAGTGGTTAAGATGTCACGCTTCCACTGGAGGGAGCATGGGTTTGATCCCTAGTCAGGGAACTAAGATCCCACAAGCCTCGTGGCGCAGCCAAAACAAAACAAAAAAACAGTCTTAAAAATAACTGGGCTTTCCTGGTGGTTCAGTGGTAAAGAATCCGCCCGTCAATGCAGGAGACACGGGTTCGATCCCTGAGCTGGGGAGATCCCACATGCCTCGGAGCAGTGAAGCCCGTGTGCTACAACCACTGAAGCCCTCGTACCCCACAGCCCGTCTCTGCAGCAAGAGACACTCGAGAAAGTGCACACGCGGTGAGGAAGACCCGGCACAGCCAAAGTCGAATGAACAAATCAAAGAGAAACGCTGCGGGAGCAACCACACAGGGAGCACCTCCCTGGGGGTCCAGTCGTCAGGACTCCGCATATAAAGTGACTTTTAAAAGCGCTATTCACCCAGTGAGTCAGCGCATGCGCACCAGGCCGCACAGCATCTAGATGCAGTCGCAGACCATCAGGGACAAAGGACAGAGGGACTTGTTTTGCGCTGTTACGCCGGGTTCCAGCCTAGTCGCATGAACACAACTGCTTCGGAGCAGAATTCATGGATGTAACAAACTCGACTTAACAGACTTTCACAGACTCCTAGACTCAGGACAGGGGACATACTTTCGTTTTTAAATGGCTTTGCTAAGTTTAGCTGAGTTTGTTGCAACCATGCACTTGGTCACAAAAGTGATAAATTAAAAAAAAGTGATTTCAGGGACTTCCTTGGCAGTCCGGTGGTTAAGACTCCATACTTCCACTGCAGAGGGTGCAGGTCTGACCCCCGGCTGGGGAGCTAAGATGCTGTGTGCCACGTGAAGTGGCCAAAAAAATAAAACAAGAATAAATTTAAAAACTGCCATAAAATTCAAACTAAAGAATAAAACGGTTTCTAAGAAACCTCACTGTTTAAAAATGATACAGCATACTTCTACATAACTTAAGACAATGAAACCTATACTCACTCCAAAACCAATAAAAAGGAGATGTTTTGTACCATGCTGTTCTCAGAAAACTGGACCTTAAACACCATCTTCACTAAAGAGAGGTGAGAGTGAGAACTCAGTCCCTGCCTTAGAAGACGAGAAATAACAAAACCCAAAGGAACCGGGTAGTCTTCCCAGACCACCAGAGCACACTCCAGAGCAGGAGGCGAGGCTTGGGAAGGGGACTGAGCGGGCGGAACACCGAGGCTGCTCTGGGGCATCGCAGGAGGTGGTGTGGTCCGAGCAGCCTGTGACCTCCTCCAGCCGCCCTCCCGAGTGGCCAGAGCAGACCCTCTGGCAGCTCCAAGGGCGGGCCCTGGCCGCGGTGTGACCCTCACCCCCAGCTCCTCGGCGATCCTCTGCCAGTCCAGGTGGCCGTGCTTGGCCGCGACGGCCTTCAGCTGGGCCACCTCCTGCTCGCTCCACTCCTGCTTGTTGATGCTCGGGTGCTCGTAGTTCTGCCAGAACTTGCGAATCTCCTCCGTGCTGCGGCCTCCCTCGAACTGTAGGGAGACAGACAGACAGACAGACTTGTCCATGTGGCCGAGCCGCGGAGAGTGGGGTCTCTGTCCAGGCTGCCGGGAAGTGCCAGTGGGGAGGCCCCCAAAGCAATCCACGCTGCTGGACGTGCGTGTGACTAGAGGGAGCCCCGGCAGGCCTAGTTGCTCACGCAAATCGTGGCCTCAATGACCAGTGCTGGCCCCGCCCTGGCCGCTGGGACTCACATTGACGTTGGAGATCTTGTCCCAGTCATGGCCGTCCAGCCTGTCGCCTAGCAGGGCCTCCTCCGGGAGCTGACTGCAGAGAGGGTGGGGACACGGGGTCATGCTGGCCCTCAGCTCCCCGTGGACCACGCCCGCCCCAGCAAGATCGCTCACTTGATGTCCTGCACCTCCTTCTCCGCCTCCCTGGCCTGCTTCTCCAGGACCTGCCTCTCCAGCTCGCTCGCGGCCCTGTTCTGCTTCTTCTGCAAGTACTCCAGCCTGTAAGGCAGCGAGAGGCGCCTGTGGGACCGGCGGCGATGCTGTGTCCCGCGGCCGGCCGCCTGGCTATTGCACGGATCTGGGCAGGAGCCTGCAGAGCTGGTCAGCTGCCAGCACACCACGTGGCACAGCTGTGGGGAGCACAGGCTCCAAAGGCCGACCCTCCCCCGCACACAAACCCCCAAAAAAAGCAGCGGCCCTGCGTGAGGTGTCCTGACAGGCATGGCAGGCAGCAGACACGGCAGTGCTGACACAGGAGACACTCCTGGCACCCAGCACGTCGCCCGATCCCCGGATGTGCTGGCCCTCAGGGACAACCGCCTCCAGGACGAGCCGAGCTGCACCCGAGGCATGACCCCACTGCCCCCAACAAGCCCAGACCCACGCAAGCCAAGAGGTGGCCCTGGGGACCCCTGGCCGGACCCCAGGTGCTGAGGTGTGGTCGGGAGACCCCACCCTGTCAGCACACGTGGAACACCCATCTTGCCAACAGTCCTCTTTCTAAGCCCAGGCTGACGACTCACAGGAAAGACAGGCCAGCCCTCACACGCCCCACCTGAGGGAGAGGCCAGGAGCAGTGCCGCTCCCGCTGCAGGGGAGGGATGCTGGCAGGGCAGCGGGCGCGGCCACCAGGGCCTCTGGCCATGGAGCTGCCAGCCTGCCTGGCCTTGCCCCAGGGCAGGGAGCCTCCGGACTCACTTGAGCAACTTGGGCTGGAGCAGCCGCTGCAGACGGTCACTCACCACCGACTTCCTGAGCAGGACCCTTTCCCAGGTCTTCCCTGCAGAGACAAGATCGCGGACAGGGGTAACTCAGGGTCACACCCCGTTAGCAACACCCCCCCAGCCCACCCCATCCAGCCCGTGGCAAGGAAGTGAACGAGCTGAAGGAGGCCACCCGGGACTTGCCCCCAGCACACAGCCCAGGGCAGGCACGAGGCGGGAGAGGATGGAGCAAGCCCGGGGGAGGCCCGGTCTGTCCCTCACAACACGACCCGTGACCAGACTTGGTGGGGAAGGGCAGGCCCTCAGGTGACCGGGCCAGCAGTCGGGGCGGACTCCTGGGGCGGGGCGGGACAGGCAGCTGCCGGCTGGGCCGCGGCTCATACACTTGGTCACCAGGAGCTCCTCGAAAGCCTTGATGCCCTGGGCAGCCTTCTCGCGCGTGTCCTCGTTGGCAGGAGGCCCCTGTTGGAGAACACTGGGTCACGCTGTGGGCAAAGCCAGGTGTGCCCCCCGCCGGGTCTCGGGACACTGTCCCCCAGTGTGTGTGGATGCCTGGGCCTAGAGCACAGCATGAGGACTGGCTCTGGACACCACCTGCTGGCACGGGGCTGCCCCCACGCGGACGACTCGGTGCCGCCTGTCCACTGGGTGAGGCCACCCGCTACATCCCAGGGACGCAGCCCTGACGTTCCCTCCTGGAGCCGGCAGGGTTTCAGTTCAGCGAAGCTGGGGAACGCTCTCCTAAGAATTCTAGAAACTTCCAACGCCCACAGCAGGGTGTGGGGACACGAGCAGACTGCGGGCCACTCACCACTCCCGTGACCCTGTCCCTGAAGTAGGGCTTCATGAAGTGTCCGAGGTATAGGTTTGGGGGCGGGCTCCTGCCGTCCTTCACCTTGGGGCCCCTGACACCTTCGAGGTCGCCCATGATTTCCTCCTGCAGCAGACACAGGGGGCCACCAGTGAGTTAGCCAGCAGGGGCTCCCCTGGAGGAGGGGACCCAGGGCCCTGGCCCCCGAGGCCAGGAGGTGGCGCCTCCCGGGCCAGGCCCGCCTGACCTGCTGCTCCCGGTTCTGGGCCAGGAGCAGGCTGACCTCCGCCAGCTTCTCCCGGACCACCTCCTGATAGACCATGTTCAGCTGCAGGCAGGTCTCTGGGTCTTCAGGGAGCGCCTTCTCCTTGGGGTCGTCCTCGTCGTTGCTGGCCTCACCCCACCTCTCTTCCTCCTGCAGACAAGCAGGAAACTGCAGGTGAGGGACACTCGCGCAGCTGCAGGGCCCCAGGTGAGCTGCGTTCTGGCCGCTGGGTCAGTGTGACGCCACCCTGACCATGGACCACATAGCGCCTGGACACGTCCCCTAGTTTACAATGATCCCATTTAGATGGGAAGTGGGAGAGAGGTTCAAGAGGGGGGAACACGTGTATACGTATGGCTGATTCATGCTGATGTGTAGCAGAAACCAACACTATATTGTAACACAATTACCCTTCAGTCAAAAATGAATAAGTTTAAACAACAACAAAAAAAATGACGATTAAAAAAAAAACAATTTACAGGCCATCTCTAAGAGTACACCTCAGGTGAAACACTGAGGAAATGACCAATTTTCACTGTCGATAGTAAAAACTCCCGTAAAACTTGGACTCACTGTACAACAGGTTTGCTGGCAGACGCGGTGAGTAGGAACATGGGCCCCGCAGTGCTGGCGAGACTGAAACCAGAGCTGACCCAAACGTCCACCCCAAGGTGGCGAGTCTAACGGCTACGGAATTACGGTAAAGCCCTGTCAGGAGGCCCCTCGGCTATCACAGACAGGAAGCAGTTCCGTGTGTATTGACTCAGTGGAAAAACAAAGACCAGTTATAAGAATTTCCCAAATTAACAGAAAAACCCAAGATAAACAAACGACAGGCACTCAGGGGCAGACCCGAGTGCATCCTCTGCCTCCAGCTGCTGTTCTAGGGTCTGCCGCGTGTGCACCGACCGGGCTGTCACTGCCCCCGAGGCTCAGAGAGGTGACCACGGGGCAGGACCAGGCAGCACACTCAGCCTCCCCGAGTCATGTCCAGCTGAGGTCAGTCTGGCAGGAGCTAAGAGCAGGCGACAGGCGTGAACGCCCAGCTGTGATGACGGTATCTCCAGGGACATGTGTACTTCTGATGACACCCCTTTTCTCTTGACTGACAACACCCATGGTACTTTAATAACGCAGAAGAGCCAAGATGAGTTCAAAGCATGCCCCTTCCCCAGACCCACTGGAAGGGTGGTGTGCCCACTTCAGCAGGCACGGCCACCTCAGGCCACAGGTTACCGACAGCAGTGGGCCAGCGGCGTCTGAGTCCGAGTCCTCGTCGGGCAGTGAATCTGCAGGAATGCAAGCACACGGTGTCGGTGCCCAGCGCTGGACACAGCTGCTGGGGATAGATCCCACAGCTGCTGAGACCAACCGGCCAGGGCAGCCTCAGACCGGGGGATGCTGAAGTGAGGTGGTCCACAGGGGACAAAAGGCCTGGGTGGGACGCGTGCTGTGTGGACCTCCCGTCCCCGCCGCCTATGCCCGGGGGGGAGCTGAGCATGGCCCTCTGTGTGCAGTGGGCACTGGGCTGAGGGCAGGATCAGCCAGAAAGATGAGATATCAGCATAACATGGGGTTTTCCGAAGCATAGAGAGAACAGGAACCGCAGGGACAACCAGGGCAGATGTCACGTGAGGCAGCTCTGTCCTGGGGGGACTGGAGCTGGCCAGACGGGGAGAAGGGACAGGCACAGAGGCCCAGTTCCAGGTGAGAAAAGGCCCGTGGAGCTGGGAACCGTGAGAGGCTCAGCCTTAGGGCTGCACCTAAGCTTGAGCGGGGGGAGGCTGGGGCCCTAGAGGGCTCGGTCTCTGCAGGCAGGCCTCAGGCCAGAGCTGATGGGAAGGACACTTGGGGCCCGGGAAGCACATGGGGCGGGCAGAAGGGGAGCCCTGGCAGCAGGGGCCTCAGACAGAGGGCAGCCTCCCAAACACCAGGAAGAGATCCAAGGGGTCTCAGCTATGGCTGGCTGTTCAAGCCGGGGGGCGGCCAACAAGCTGAGGCCAGGAGCCTTCTGACACCTGAGAAGGAGAGCAGGGCCCCCCTCCCAGGACAGCCTGTGGCACCAAGGGGCAGGGGCTGATGTGGGAGCGTGGTGACGCTGCCCAGCGGACTGAAGACCCAGCGGCGTGACGCACTGAGGCTGACCGTGGTCTAAGGGCAGACACGGCCGCTCTGACTGAGAAGCGTGGGTGCTGACCTGCATCCGAATCCGAGTCAAGACTGGACTCCGAGACATCCACGCTGAGGCTCGAGCAGCAGGGTTCCAAGATCCTCTCCAGCTGCTGGATCTCCCTGGAGATCCTTTCTCTCTCAGCATCCACGTCCATGATGCCCCGCCTGCAACACATCCTGAGATGTCAGAAACCCAGAGCACGTGGGAACCCCGACTGCCCCTCGGATGCTCAGCCTTGCGGGGGACGGCGGAAGCCTGACCAAAGCAGGCACTGGGCTCCGAGAGGCCCAGGTGTGACAACGGTATCTCTGGGGAGCCTTGGGCCTACCTGGCACCCCCAGGGCCCTGTGAACTGCTCTTTGCCTTGTCAGCCACGCTGAGGCTGCAACCAGTACCGGGGGGTGGGGGTGGGGGATAGTGATGGATAACACCACCACCTGGCTGCCTGCTCTGTCTTCCCACCAGGGAACCATGAGTGAATTGCTTACCCAGTGCATCAAAAGGAGAGCGCGGTGGCAAAGTCACTAGAAGACAAGGATGAGGCCCATGACCCCGAGGTGCAGCCGCTCGCCCCCCCACCACAGAGCTGGTCACACAGGGCATCAGGCACCAGACAAAATACACACCCACCAGCTGGCAGGGTTCAAAGCCTCGGGAGGAAGCCCCCTCCGAGAGGGCAGGGCCTGCTGAAGCCCCAGCATCTAGCACAGCACCTGGCTTTCGGGACTGAGCCTTAACAAGCCTCTGAGAAAGTAACAGTGACCTCTTTTTCTTCGGGAACAACAGTCTGGGACGTCTAATAAGGGAGTGGGAGAATAAACTGGCGGCAGCGGAAACGTCAGGGAAACACAAGCACAGACTCAGAGGTCAAAACACGCAGAAGCCCCTTCCCACCGTGGCCAACTCCCCCCAACTCTCGCCCCCCGGTGCAGGCGATCGGAGGCCTCCACCGCGACAAACAGGGCCGCCGCCGCCACCGGGAGCGCCCCCAGCTCGCGGGCGGCTGGAACGAGGCTTCCAGGACGGGCGGCGGAGCCCGGCCTCTGGGCCGGCGCGCCCGCGACGGGAACCCTGCGATGACAAGCCCCTGCGCGGATCCCGCTCCCCAGCCGGCCAACATCCCGTCCCTCGCCGCTCCTCCCCCGCCGCCCCCGGGCCCTCCCCGGTCGCTTCTCCTCCCGACCCTCCCCCGTCCGCTCCTCACCTGGACTCGAAGCCGGCCCCTCAGCCTCCACGCACACGCTTCTGGAAGCCGCACGATTACGTCGCCGCGAGCCGGAAGTCCCGCCTTCACGGCCGCGGCGGAAACGCAATGCACGTCGGGACCGGGCTCTCGCGGCGGGCCGGTGGTGCCCCCGCGCGGCCAACCTTGGGACTGGGCGCATCCGAGGGCACTCGGCTGAGGCACCCGGAGGTCGGATCTCCTGCAGCCGCCCTCGAGCCTGTCTGTGCTGGTTCTCTGTGAGTTGTCCCCAGGGTTTTGCTAGAGGAGCCGAGGAGAAAACCCGCCGAGTGCTCAGGGCTGTCCTGGCCATGGCCACGTGGGGGAGGCCAATTTGCCTCTCCGCGGCCAGGGTCCCGGGATGGGTGGGAGCCCGCGCCCCTCGAGCGAGCCAGCGATGGGGCTGCAGAGCTGTCGGTGCATCCCTGCTCACCCAGCACCCGCGTGATAGCCCAGGACCGGACCCCACGGAGTTCAGACCCACAGGCAGAGATGCCTGGTCAACAAAGTCAAGCCAGTGTGACTTGTCATCTTAAGTTTTCTTTTACTGTGGAACACTTGAAGCTGCCCTACCTCTTGCCCAGTCAGCTTGGCCTGTGGGCCGGTAGGTAAAGGGAACTTGAAGATGGTGATCTGGTGCCCTCTATGCAGGGCTGTGCGGAGAGCCATCCATGCCCTCACGTGTATCCACGTTACAGACCCTCTCAACACTCTCCCGCTAGACTACCAGGTCTCAAGTCTGCTCTGAACACTGACCTGGGAGCCCACTTCTCACCAATGGGCAGGAGCAGGAGGTGGTGAGTGGGGTAAGATATAGGTCAGAGGGAGCCAGAGGGGGCCCTGTATCTAGGGCCAGAAGCCCTTAGACTTCTGAGCTAAGATCAGAGGGCCTAGCAATTTGAACATCTTGGACATACGACTACGTGACAGCAAATGCTCCAACACCAGACTCCAGTGTGTCCCACTCGGGACATAGAGCCCTGCTCTGCCTGCAGGTGTCCACAGCGCTTGGTCACTGTGGCCAGGCCCAGCAGCAGTTGTGGGCAAAGCCTAACCCCACAAGCTTCATTATCAGCACAAACCACCTGTTAGAACAAGGGTAACTGTGATTCTCAAACATAAAGAGCAGGCTCAATTAGGAAAAAAAGGGACACCGCAGAAAACTGTTGATTTGAATAGGAGGAGAAAAAGAAGTTTATTTTAAAAAATAACACCCACAGGAAAACAGCCCAAAAGGCATCTAGTGTATGTTACAGCTACCCTCCGACAGGAAGGAGCTGGAAGGCACCCTGGGAGGCCTCGAGCTGACCCGGGAACTCTGCCCATGCTCCACATCCCTGAATCCTGCATGTCACTGCACAGTATGCCACTAGAAACGCCTATCAAACCCTCCAGCCAGAGTCCCCAAGTCTGAAGGCCCATGAAGAGATGCTCTTAGATGGTGTCCCGCCGTGGAATGCCTGTGCTGACTTTGGTCCCTAGGGAGACAACAGCGACCACCTCACAGGGCGTCTGTGCTCAGACTACCAACCGCAAGAGCCCTCCCCCGCCAGAAGCTGAAGGAGCAGACAGTAAGCCAGGGGCGCGCTGAGTGAGGGCGGTAAGGCACCCCTGCCCAGGGCAAGCACATCCTTTATGGCCCGGCTGGTGTGTCTCTGCTCACAAAATCAAAGACGATCGATGTGATCATCTTACAGCCAGAGCTCTGGAATGACGATGGGAAACACTACAGAACCGCTGCTTTCGTTTACTAACTTAAAAAAAAATCACTGGCTTTTATAGAATTGCCTTCGAGTAGATGATCAGCGTCTATGAAGCAGTGTGGAGCTCACCTAGAAAGGCTACACAGAAGCGAAGGTGTGACTCCCGTGTGTGGCTAATAATAGTGCTACAGGTCATGAAGTTAGCGTCTCATGATAAAGTTTTACTGTGGGTGAAGCCTGCACACTCAGAGACGCTGTGGCATCTTGGAATCCGTCGGGAAGTGTTTTCAGGATGCAAACAGAGCTGGGAGCTGGAAGCACCTCCGTGGTTCTCACGACTCCTCCCCTTGGTCTTTAATTTCAGAAATTCTGTCTATAGATTTAAGGATTTCAGCAACGAGATTCAACGTTTCAGCTCCAGAAACTAGCTGCCTGAAACGAAAGCCCAGAGGTGACAGATGGCTTCTATTAATACAACCGCTCCAGGGCAGTAACAGCAGCACTGGGAGTTCCCTGGTGGCCCAGTGGTTAGGGTTCCATGCTTTCACTGCAAGGAGCAGGGGTTTGCGCTCTGGCTGGAGAACTAAGAAGCCGAGAGCTATGTGGTGGATCCTGACCCCATCCCCGCCCCACAAAAAATACTCCCCAAACCCCCTCAAACAAACACAACAAAAACCCAGAGTGTTAAAGCAAAGAAGGTCCTGATCAAAAATTGCAGTTTGTTCAATATCAGATTTACTCTCCAGACATACTACGTATTCAACTTAAAAGTGATGGGCTTCACTGTCTGTGGTTGTGGCTGGACACCACTACCTGCCGAGCTCAACCCAGGGAGACAAAGGACTCCGGCCAAGGACGCCTCCCAGGAGCCTTGTTCCAGTTTGTGTGTTTTTACAAGAGAGACAGTACTATCATCCTTTTTCACCCAAAACCTTGGTAGATGTCTTGCAGGCGATTAAGACCTGCCTGATGTTAACCCTCAAGCCTTCCAGGTGAGAATGGTTATCAGTTATCCCCACGTGGACGGGGAGGGGCTGCTGGCCGAGGCTGCCTCCCATGACCCTAGGGTGAACAGGGTCACGAGCCCTGCCCCCCAGCCTGCAGCTTCGATAGCGGCAGAGCCCCGCACTCACTTGATGGAGGCGTGCGCGTTGTTCATGACCACGCGGAGGTTCTGCAGGGCCACGTCTGTGTTCTGCTTCACCACCGTCAGGCTGGCGCCCTGACCTGACCGCAAGGCTTCGTTCTCACGCTTGAAGTTAGAGATCTGGGCCTGCGGGGAGGGGAGAGGTTACGACTTTCCTGGCTGAACAGGAAAGCGGCCAAAGTGGCCGTTCGACTGAAACCAAGCACCGCACCCGAGGTAGTACGACCAGAGACCATCCCATCTGTCCCCCACGACGAGACGCCCGGCCCCGACCGTGGGGACTGGGTGGGGCGGGCCCAAGACGAGACGCCTGGCCCCGACCGTGGGGACAGGGTGGGGCGGGCCCACGACGAGACACCCGGCCCTGCGGGGCGGGGCGGGGCGGGGCGGGGGGCTCCTGAAGCACATGACCTCTCCCCGTTGCTGGCAACGTGCCCGCCATCTGGGGTGCTCGGACCCATCCCCAGCCCGTGTGGGGCTCGACCAGGAGGCCCTGGGAAGGCAGCTGACACTGTCCTCCTTCGGGTGCTTTGTCTTGTTGGGAGGGACTGGAGGGGAGGGTGGGGGAGGAAAGGCTCTTTCACACACACGTGAACGGGTGAGACCCTCTTGTTACCTGGAGCAAGCTGACTTCCTGTTTCAGTTTCAGGACATGATTTTCTGCCTTTACTGCCCGTTTCTGTGATTCCCCCAAGAAAGGAAAAAAAAAAAAAGCAATCACTGACATGGCAGCTTGGACACAGAATGCATCCCCTACGTTCCCGTCACCTGGCAGGCCCACCCGATGGCTGCGCAGCCCGTAGTGAGGGACCCCTGCTCACGGCCCCCTGCCTGGGCCCCCCACAGGGAGTGACACACCCAACTCTCTACGATGGCGGGCCTGCCCACCTCTCCCACTGCAAACAAGGACCCTGTCTGCTCACAGTCATGAGCTCCAGATTCTGCTCCACCTGCTGCACCACGGACTCCAGGTCATGATAGTCACTCTCCTCCTTGATCATTTTCGCTTCTAACTTCCGCTCAAGCGTCCTCACCCTTGTTATGGAAAAAGCCTGAGTTATCAGTAACTCCTGTGACTAATTCTAAGAATTATAAGACTATCAGGAGTTTTGACTGGATTGATCAGATAAATATCACAAGAGCCCGAGATTCAAGAATGCACCTGGAGGGGCACAACCTTGGAGCTAGACACACGTCAGGGCTCACGGGCAGGGGCGCCCGGGGTGGCGGGGGGAGGCTGTCTGACAGCTCCGCCACTCCGCCATCAAGTGTGGTTGGCTTTGCTCTAATGTTTTCAAATAAACTTTAACACAGAACATAAGAAATATATCTGACACTGAGGACTTAATGCAATAAAACCCAGGCTCAGTCCAACTCCGATACTTCATTATCGTTTTCACAGTGGTTTCTCTGAGGGTCAGGATATGGTTTGAGGTGCGAGCCTATCTAAAAGCTTACATACATTTCTGTTTGAGTTTCAGAGAAGCTCTGAACCTCAGTCAGCTTTCTTCTTAGCTTAGAATTCTCATCTTTCAGCTGCAGAAAAAGAAAATCCTTATTAGAAACTCAGTGTCTCACTCAAAAGGAGTCTTCATTTTCGCTATTTGGCTCTGGAACTCCTTAATAAACAAAAACATTCCAGAGAATCACTCTATAGTCCACACGGAGAAAAAGAGAACAGAAGTGTCTGCTTTTTAGAACTTGTCACAGACTCCACTTTTACTCAGACCTAATAGCTCTTTCTAAATGACTGCAATCTTTTCATCGGGCAAGCTGTCCCCAAGCTGCTGCCTGGAGTGGACCATTTTCTGAGGGGAAGTGCTGTGAGGCTCTCCCCCTGCCT